ACGGTGTTTTAAAACCATCAAGGTCCTTGTTCCCAGGTAAGACCCTTATCACCGGGAGGCTCTAGTTGTATGATACTTTTCATGCGTCTGTCGCCTCTTCTTGTCATATCGAGTCATTTTCGACAATTCGTGCTAACGATTGAGAAAATATGTTGTTTATGTACTACTTTTCTTTCTTGCATTTAATTGGCATTCCCGGTCTCCGGGCTGGGATAGTTGCGCCCATTCTTAACCAGCTCCGGAAGGGTTCGCTCATGCTGGAGGGAGCGGTCTCCCACTTCCGTTACTCCTTCTTTCGGGTTTGTCCATAAATTCCCCGTTTGGTAGAAGTTGGCATTACTGGTGTGGGCTTCGTTGGGTGTGCGGGATTTGCTTACAATTAGGGCCTTCTAGGTTTCGTAGTTGTGGTCTGTCACAGACTTCTTTATCTTGGTTGTCTCTGTAGGATCTAATTCAGGCGCGAAACGAGCCAGCTGGAGGGATCGTTTGTGGTATTCCCTGATGGTGGTCATCCCTTGTTTTAGGTGGAGGATTTTCCTCGTACATGGTTGCCCTTATAGGTGCGGGGTGGAATCGTCCCCGTAGCCGTGCCCCTAGGCACTCCTAGTTGAACCCCTGGTTGTTGCCCATAAGTGGGTTCTTTGTGGATTTATCAAAGATCAGCCTCGTGTCTTGAAGTGGAATGAGGCTATCCCTACGCGGCGTTCCTCTGGGTATTCCACTAACCCGAGGACTTTGTTGAATGTTCGGGTTCATTCTTCGAGGAGTGTGGGATCCTTGACTGTCTTCTTGTTGGCGCCATGCTGCTGGTTTTCAGGGTCAATATTTATTGTATCGATGAGTCAGTGTGCTGCACCCTTACCTTGGTGTGGTAAGCGTAGGGGGAAGTTATTTTAGAGAGGGATAAGGTGAGGGGAGGTTACGTGTAGGTTTCACAATCTCACCGCGCGTCCTAAGATTCCTGAATCCTATGTTCCTATGTACCTAGAGTTCAAGCCTAATGTCCTACAGTCCGGTCTTAAGAGTCTTATCCTAGGGTCAAACTTAGGCTCTGATACCAACTGCCACACCTGAGCCAGAGAACTCAGATGCACAGGCTGACTAACTAATATCCTTGATAATGTAAATGCATAAGCATGGCACGCAGGCCAAAAGGGAAACTATCTACTTCTACGCTCCAAATTCTAGCGCGCTCCAGTGACTTATTTTTCTGTGCCTGAAGGCCAAATATATCTGTTCAGCGAGAGATGCTGGTAACCCACTCCAACGCGTTGAAATACAATACATATAGAGATATATATATATATAGATATACGAAAACCATTTTGAGCATGAAGATATATTCTACGAACTCTAGCTTTTAAAACCGGGAATGACTCGACAGATAAGGCTAGACACAAGCAATAGTTATAACAAGCGTATACAATCCACAACAGGCGAGACAGATAAAGCTGAGCACAATTAATAAACATTACCCAACATAAACATTCCCCAGCATAAATTCCATAGTCACATCCCCAAGACATTCATAACGACAACTCATCCGTATTTCATCACATAGCACACTTTGTTGGCGCCACAGGACCAATCGCATGCCCATACATGAGGGTCAGCGCATATAGCTCTGACACGGCCCCGCAGCACCCTGCCCCGTATCGCAACACGGAGGTGTCGATCGCAACCGACCGATGAACCGCAGCTCATCATAATGTTTGATCGCAACCAAATAGTGGACCGCAGCCCAAGAGAATGTCATCTAACCGCAGCCAGGAAATATGAACCGCAACTCATGTAGAAACGTTTGATCGCAACCAAACGGTGGACCGCAGCCCAAGAGTGTAAATCTGACCGCAGCCAGCTTCTGAACCGCAGCTCAGGAATAACCAATCCGATCGCAACCGAATTGGGGTGTCATGCACACATAACACATAGCAAGCACATGCAACCCACATTAACACATTGGGAAGGGGAGAAAGTGTATAACAAAACCTATGCGTGATCCTTCACATACTAAGAATGGTCCTAAGGGGTTCATACTTCTTCCACCTAGGACAACGGGATACCAATTCAACTAGCATGCAATATATAAGACTCATAAACCTACGAACGGTACCCGAAACATCAAACTAGACACGGCACAATGAACGGAGTCCGTTGGGACACCACGGGGATCGGGGAAACATCAAACGGGGAAGCCGGGGTCCCGAATGGGGGAGATTTCCAGCGGGTAGCCGATGGGTGGGGGGCTACCCGCCGGCAAGCACTGTTCCGGGCAGCGGGTCGCCGGCGGGCAGCTGCCCGCCCGCCGGCTGCCCGCTGCCGGAGACGCCCCCTTCTGGCCGCGGGTAGGTGGCGGGTCCCCTACCCCCCACCTACCCCCCACTGACTCTTTATACACAAAACGCCCCGGGAACCATTGTGGAACCCGAAACCATGCTTAGACACTTTACAACGCAATTAACGATCAACACGTAGACAATTAACGGATCAAATACGAGAAACGTACGACACATAACCTATCATGCTTTTCTAAACATAATCGACACCCAAACATGCGATTTCCCCACCCGATACACCAAGAATAATATCATACGATACAACCTAGGGTTCTAATAACTTTTATACCAACAAGAATACGATTCGTCTTCTAATTACAAGGTTCGTTAAGAATATCACATAAACATCTAGAACATCACACAATCATCAAGAACGCCAACAAGAACATCAACCTAGGGTTCTAATTACTTTTACATCAACAAGAATACGGTTCATCTTCTAATCACAAGATTCGGTACAAATAACACATAAGCATCAAGAACGCCATACAATTATCAAGAACAACATATAATCATCAAGAACTCCACATAATCGTTAAGAAAACCATAATTATCAAGAATCTCCCAATATCAAGATCACCCATGGAATTATCCCATCAATCATCAATAATAACATCACAAATCATCAATACACAATAATATGGGGAAATCCTACGGGGGAATCATAGCTATGAAAATAGGTTTTGTTGAGACATGGGTTACCTCTTAGCCTTAATTAATTCCTTGGCTATGAAGAGTCTTTCTTTAAGCTTTCTTGCTTTCTTGATTTCTTCTAAGGGAATTCTTGGAGCTCTTTGGGGTGGTGAGTTGTTTATTGTGGTGGGGGGTTCTAGGTGACTCTTAAGTCCCCTATTTATATATTTAGGAGTCCTGGTTAGGAACTAATATTATAGGTTTGCTAATTCTATTCCTTTTGGAACTAAGGATTGGGTTTAGGGATAAGGGTCCATGGTCCATAGTGGACCATATTAATTAATTAAAGGGAATCCTAATCGTAGTCTGAATAGTAAAAGTCCTACTTCCTTTATTCCTAATAGATAACTAGGTCTAGGATTCCTAATTAGAATCTGAATAGTAAAGGGTTTACTTCTTTTATTCCTAATAGGCTTAGGACTCTAATTTAGGCAAGGGTCCATGGTTCATGGTGGACCTTATTAATTAATTAAAGGAAACCTAACCGAATTAAATCATACTTAATTATTATTAACGGGATTAATTAAATAATTAATCCGGGATTGAAGACCGTAACACGGGGTGTTACAAGAACTATATGGTAGGATTCCATGTAGGTTTTGGTGTCGTGAATCGTGCTAAGTGTTCAACATTGTGTTTTGTTGAACCGTGATGAGTCTTGTGTGTTCTTCGGAACTATCTTTGGTTTACCCGCTTGATGAGCATGGTAGTTTGGTGTTTAAATGCTAGCGCGTGTGTTGTTTGTACCTTCCTATTCGTTGATGATAAGTTGTGTTATTCATCATTGTTGTTGTTGGGCTGTGACCCATTCCTTGATTGAGTATGGTTTCATATCTTCATTGTGATCCGTTGATTGATTCCTGTTGTGGTGTGATGTGTGTGTGGATTTACCTGGATTGCACGATTAGTGGTATGGGACACTAGTCACCAAGGTATTGCAGCGGTCCTCGTGGTGGCCGTGACGTGATTATGGAGTTCTGACCTTTGTGTAAGGTTCACGTGATTCTTGGGTGGCATGTGTTGTCGTGTGTGTGCACGGTACCCTCGTGTACTATGAAATTGGTGGTCTCGTTGGTTTTCGTTGGTGGGGTACAACAGTCCCAGGAGGGAAAAGGTTGGACTTGGTTTTACAGGGTCCTGGAGTTAATGGTTGGAAGAAGATACAAGGTTGGGGGTAGCCATAAGGTTGGAACCGGGCATAAGGATGGCATATCAACTCATGATGGGTGATGTCACGAAGGCTCGTGTAGCCGTTGTTATGAGTTCTCTTCTTGTGACGTGTGTAGTCACAAAGGGCATGTGTTGCCATCGGTCTTGTCTTTATCCTTTGTGTTGTGGTTATCCTTTGTGGTTTTGGGATGTGTTCCCGTATCCTTGTTGAGAGAGTGTTGAGTCTTGTGTTGACTACTGCTCTTGGTTTTGTACTTATATACTTATGTATTCCGTTTCGAAAATGCTTTACAAACTTATATCTTACTTATGTATGTTATTTCACATGTATTGGTGGGTTACCAGCATTACTCGCTAACCGGGCGTCATCCCATGTTTAATTGTGTTCTTTCAAGTGATGTCTAGGCGAGTGCGCAGTCTAGTGCTTGATAGTGTAGCTTTTCCCGCTTGTTTATGGCCTGTGTGCCGGCTTAGTTGTAGACTTTTGAGACTATGGATTAGTTTTAAACAATGTAGATATTGCCGTAGCGTTTATCCTTTTTGGTGAACGTGGCATAACACCCCGTTGTTTTGGATTTAAGTTTATCTAGTTATCTTTCAGTCTTTCGCTGTGTTTGTTGTTTAGTTCAGTTATCTGCATGTTTAAGGCTTTTAAATAGCTTGTTTTTAGGGGGTGTTACTGGCAGACCTCCTGGTATCCACACATGCTCCCCAGTCTGAGTCAGTGAAAGCCTTTAACTGTAGGTTAGATTTGGATGGGAAGAAGAGACCTTGACCAGGGGCACTTTTAATGTACCTTAGGACTCTGTGAGCAGCTTGTAAATGTAGATGAGTGGGTTTTTCCAGAAACTGAGACAGCTGCTGAGTGGCAAAGCTGATATCTGGCCTAGTAGTGTTTAGATATAGAAGTTTTCTAACCAACTTTCTGTACTGGGAATTGTCATTCAATAAATCAACTTTATTTCTATTTAGCTTCTATGATGGGACAATTGGGCTGTGAACTAGTTTGGAGTTCATAAAACCTGTCTCATTTAGCAGCTCAAGGGTATACTTCATTTGAGATATCCCTTTCTTCTGTCTAGCCACTTCCAGACCTAGAAAGTACTTGAGAGACCCTAAGTCTTTTATTTGAAAATTGTCATTGAGCTGAAGTTTTATTTGCTGTATGAGTTCCAAGTTAGCACTATCTATAACAATGTCATCAACATAGACTAATAATGCCACAAAGGACTTCCCTTCACCTTTAGTAAATAGGAATTATCTGGAATTGCCTACTTGAAACCCATGGTATGTAAAGCAGTACATAGTTTGGTGTTCCACTGCCTACTTGCCTGCTTTAAACCATATAGGGACTTAGTTAACTTACATACCTGCCCAGTCTTGTTACCTGCAAAGCCAAGGGGAAGCTGCATATAAACCTCCTCTTCTAGGTCTCCATGAAGAAAAGCATTGTTCAAACCATTTGATGAATGTGTCAATCCGTGGCTGCTGCTATGGCTAAGAAAGTCATGATGGTTGTCATTTTTGCCACTGGACTGAAGGTGTCCAAGTAGTCTATTCCGATCCAAGGGTTTGAGTGTATCCTTTTGCTACCAGTCAAGCCTTGTATCTATCAATACTTCCATCAGCTTTGTACTTGCTTTTGTATACCCATTTGCATCCAATGAGTTTTTTGTTGGGGGGTAAGTCAACTAGCTGCCAGGTATTGTTTCCATCAACTGCTGCTATCTCATTGTCCATGGCTTTCCTCCCAACACTCATGTTGAACTGCTTTTTTAAAGTCCTTTGGTTTAGTATTATGAGTGATGTTCATAACAAATGACTAAAATGCAGGTGACAGCTTACTATAGTCCAAGACTTTACAGATTTCATGAGGGGAGGTCCAAGCAACAGAGCTATTGTAACACCCCTAATTTTTGGAACTTTTAAAACTTATATAATAAAGGTAATTCAATTATAAATTCCCAAACAGAGCACGAACTAAGCATATTAGTCAGGGTGCTATGCCACACCTAGATTTGAGAACCTAGGTGCACAAGCTAAACTATCCAAACATAAGAAATCCTCAAATTAACATTCAATACAACTTCAAGGCACGCAGGCCGATAATTGAACTATTCTAGCTAAGCCTAGGCTCTGACTAGGGCGCTCCGAAGCTAAGGCTCATTACCTTAAAAACATTCGGTATAACAACCATCAACGAATAATGCTGGTAACCCAATCCAACGCGTTAAGTACAATATAAGTAGATATAAGAAACTCATTTTGAAACTGAAATATATATATATACCTACGAAACTCTAATTTAAATCGGAGGACAGACTCAATCAAGCCATGGCAGATGCATTCAATATAATTAAACATAAACATAAAGATTCTAGCATGCATCCTAAGGTCACAAGGCTACACAATACCAATCATATCAATAGCCAGTCATCATTATAGTCAAATAGTCAACAATAAGACACGTATTGGTGTACACACATATGGTGGTGCCGCAGGACCATTTAAATGCCCATACATGTGGGTCAGTGCATATAGCTCTGACATGACCCCGCAGCACTTTAACTTGTACCGCAGCACAAGGAGATTGATCGCAATCAATCAATGAACCGCAGCTCATTTGTATCATAAACGTTTGATCGCAACAAAACTATGGACCGCAGCCCTATTGTCATATATGTCTGATCGCAACCAGATTATGGACCGCAGCCCTATATATATATATATATATATATATATATATATATATATATATATATATATATATATATATATATATATATATATATATAACAGCCGATTGTTTTCAACCAATCCAAATGCTTGTATAGCCGACCGATCGCAACCGGTCGGGTTAATACCTGGTTGTTCTCAACCAATCAGATAGTCATTATAGCCAATTGATCGCAACCAATTGGGTTATCATGCACAACAACATAGAAGCCAGACAACATGCAACTCACATTAACGCATAACGAGGGGGAATCATCGGGGAACACTTAACTCTACATAACTCATACGTAATAAACTATATTAACCCACTCATGACACTACTACGGGATCATACACCTTCCTCCTAGGCCAACGGGATACTAATTCAACTAGCATGCAATACACAAGACTCTTTTATCCTAAGAACGGTACCCGATACATCAAACTAGACTAACACACGACAAACGGGGTACAACGGGGCACAACGGGACACCGGGAAACATCAAACGGGGAAAAACACCACGAACCACACCGGGATTCCAGCGGGTAGGTGGCGGGTGGAGGACCACCCGCCGACGGCGGGCACTGTTCCAGCGAGTGGCCGGCGGCCAGTCCACCGCCCGCCGGCTGCCGGCTAGAATAGTTGCGGCGGGCAGCGGGAGGTCAGTCCCCCACTTACCACCCACTGATACTTAGGCAACTTTATGGTCCCAGGATCCCTTGTGGAACCCGAAACCATGTCCAAGCACATTCAAACACATAGTGACGACACCACGTATTCAATTAACGGAATTAAACCAAGAACCACACCAAATACTTCCTAACCCGATTCCTAAACGTGCCAAGACTCAACACCCGATCATGTAAATTCCCACCCAAACATACCAAGAATAACATAATACGAAATTCCACGTTATTACTGTAACACCCCGAATTTTCAAGATATTTAAAACTTATAAAATAAAGGCGAAATCTCATTAAATCCCAAAACGTAATACAAGAGTACGGGGTGCTATGCCACACCTGAGCTAGAGAACTCAGGTGCACAGGCTAACTAACTAATATCCTTGATAATGTAAATGCATAAGCATGGCACGCAGGCCGAAAGGGAAACTATCTACTTCTACGCCCCAATTTCTAGCGCGCTCCAGTGACTTATTCTTCTGTGCCTGAAAGCCAAATATATCTGTTCAGCGAGAGATGCTGGTAACCCACTTCAACGCATTGAAATACAATACATATAAAGATATATATAGATATACGAAAACCATTTTGAGCATGAAGATATATCCTACGAACTCTAGCTTTTAAAACCGGGAATGATTCGACAGATAAGGCTAGACACAAGCAACAGTTATAACAAGCGTTTACAATCCACAACAGGCAAGACAGATAAAGCTGAGCACAATTAATAATCATAACCCAACATAAACAATTCCCAGCATAAATCCCATAGTCACATCCCCCCAAGATACCCATAATCACCACTCATCCATATCTCATCACATAGCACACTTTGTTGGCGCCACAGGACCAATCGCATGCCCATACATGAGGGTCAGCGCATATAGCTCTGACACGGCCCCGCAGCACCCTGCCCCCTATCGCAACACGGAGGGGTCGATCGCAACCGACCGATGAACCGCAGCTCATCATAATGTTTGATCGCAACCAAACAGTGGACCGCAGCCCAAGAGAATGTCATCTGACCGCAGCCAGGAAATATGAACCGCAGCTCATGCAGAAACGTTTGATCGCAACCAAACGGTGGACCGCAGCCCAAGAGTGTAAATCTGACCGCAGCCAGCTTCTGAACCGCAGCTCAGGAATAACCAATCCGATCACAACCGAATTGGGGTATCATGCACACATAACACATAGCAAGCACATGCAACCCACATTAACACATTGGGAAGGGGGAGAAAACGTATAACAAAACCTATGCGTGATCCTTCACATACTAAGAATGGTCCTAAGGGGTTCATACTTCTTCCACCTAGGTCAACGGGATACCAATTCAACTAGCATGCAATATATAAGACTCATAAACCTACGAACGGTACCCGAAACATCAAACTAGACACGGCACTATGAACGGAGTCCGTTGGGACACCACGGGGATCGGGGAAACACCAAACGGGGAAGCCGGTGTAACACCCACGATTTTCAAGACATTTAAAACTTATAATAAAGGTAGAATCTTATTAAATCCCAAGATATAAATACAAGCGTTCGGGGTGCTATGCCACACCTGGGCTAGAGAACCCAAGTGCACAGGCTAACTAACTAATATCCTCAAAGCGTAAATACGTAAACGTGGCACGCAGGCTAAAAAGGGAAACTATCTACTTCTAAGTTCTAGCGCACTCCAGTGACTTAATCTTCTGTGCCTGAAAGCCAAATATATCTGTTCAGCGAGAGATGCTGGTAACCCACTCCAACGCGTTGAAATACAATACATATAGAGATATATATAGATATACGAAAACCATTTTGAGCATGAAGATATATCCTACGAACTCAAGCTTTAAAACCGGGAATGACTCGACAGATAAGGCCAGACACAAGCACAGTTATAACGAGCATATGCAGTTCACAACAGATAAGGCAGATAATGCAAGGCATAAACAATGATCATAACCCAACATGAACAATCCCCAATAGTCACATCCCCAAGACACTCGTAATCACAACTCGTGCATGTCACAACACATAACACACTTTGTTGGCGCCACAGGACCAATCGCATGCCCATACATGAGGGTCAGCGCATATAGCTCTGACACGGCCCCGCAGCACCCTGCCCCGTATCGCAACACGGAGGGGTCGATCGCAACCGACCGATGAAACGCAGCTCATCATAGTGTTTGATCGCAACCAAACAGTGGACCGCAGCCCAAGAGAATGTCATCTGACCGCAGCCAGGAAAAAGGACGAACCGCAGCTCGTGTAGAAACGTTTGATCGCAACCAAACGGTGGACCGCAGCCCAAGAGTATCAATCTGACCGCAGCCAGCTTCTGAACCGCAGCTCAGGATAACCAATCCGATCGCAACCGAATTGGTGTAACACACACACATATCACATAGAAAGCACATGCAACCCATATTACATATTGGGAAGGGGGAGAAAGCGTATAACAAAACCTATGCGTGATCCTTCA